GTGTTTAAATTCTCACTCACATCAGATAGATCGCCTCTCCCCGTCAGCCCGCACAGCAGCAGAACAATACATTCAGACTGTGACTACTTCGTGCACGCACAATAACTTGGCAGTAAATAAAGAGCGCATCAACTGACAATCAGCAGCGGGTTACAAGCACAACACAGAAATCCTTGCTGACGACTGGGTGGCTGAAAAATGCCAATCGCTTCACGGACTATGCAAACTCAAAGCCAGCAACCATGCCACCAGCTCACCACCGGCAGAACCACCAGGGCACTAACAGAGCATCAGTATAATTAACCACCAGCGCAAAAAAATGGCAAAAACCTTGTCATCTTGAAGAGAAAATTTATCAGACTCCTACGGTAGATGGGAGCAACTTGAACCCTCAGGCTCTGTTCAAGTTAAAACCTACCCTCTACCAGTATTTTCCAGGCTTTGTTCCAGGCCAGTAGTTTCCAAGCCTTGTTTCAGGCTTTGTTCCAGGCTGGTCTGTATTTCAGAAAACCAATCGACACGATCCCGGTTCCTGTGATGCATGGGAGATATCTGTGCCTCCCACCATATCCTCTCCCTCACCCCATCGGCTTGGATCGGCCAGCCAAGGCTCTCTCTGAATTGATGACTCAGTTTCTCTACCACAACCATATCCAATCTGCCCTCTGTTATGGTCTCACACAACAGTTTCCGCCTCCCTCCCTCCCTCCCTCCCCCCCTCCCTTCCACCCTCCCTCATCTACTCGATAGAATTCAATTGGCTGGTCAAGGTCATCTCTTGATTAACAACTGCAGTGGCTCTGACGATGCACCTATGCCCAATCTGCTGCCCAGCACTATGTCATCACGAACATCAGATTGGCTAGCCGAGACAAGACTAGCTCTCAACATGTGAATTCTAACTAATACACCCATCATGTGAAATCCGGTGTCCAATTCTGAGCCGATGCGAGCATGACACCATCCCCTTGACTGATCTACGTGCAAAACTCCACTTCATAGATTTTGCAACTGGTAACACTACCCTTGCCGTGCCGCACTCGGGTCCCACTGGTTGAAAAGGTCGCTAAATTGTCTTCTGCCAGGACACACATGGCGGTGTGATCCTGTAGAACATGTAGCAACGAGCAAGCTGAGCCTATATCCTGATTTGTCCACTAGACAGGAAATCATCATCGGCAATAGGTTTCACAGCTTGCTCTGCCAGAACATGTATGGACGCAGAGCAAGCTGAGACTATCCTGCATTTTTAGCCAGACAGGAAATCATCATCAGCACCCACTGCAAAATAAAGCCAACGTTTGCCCTTGACTGACAGCCCTCTCGACAACTGAGCTAACCCCAAATAACTCATGGACGCCTGAGCGAGCTCAAAATAGCTCATGGCAATAGCAGAGTACCACGTGTTTGGCCACTATGACTAGAAGAAACTTTTGCCCATCAAACACAAGGCAGCAAGCAAAGCAGCAGCAGCTAAAGTAGGAACAATATGGCAGAGAGGAGGCAAATGCTTCATCTGTCTGGACTACTTAATTGAGCGAAATGAATGTGCAGGTAAAATTATGACACAAACACCCATTAATGCATCTCATCAACTCTTTACAATCCTTTAAATACAGAATTCGACAAACAATCCTTCACACAAGAGTTAGAAACTATGAAGTCACAAACCCCAGGCGAAATGATATGATGATATCCGTCTCCATGGTGATTACATACAACCCGGGAGGGAGCTCAAGTACCAGCGGCACGGTTCTTGGACAACAAGTAGTTCGGGTATTGCCACGTACACCCCATCACCCATGACAGGACATCAGGAACGGTCTCCACCTGAGCGCATATATCACCCTGGATGAACACACACACAAACATGCACACACACACACACACACACACACACACACACACACACACACACACAAGTTTAAATTCCTGGAATGGTCTATGAGAACTCACTATTGTTATTGGTGGTAACGGTGGTGTTGCAATGAACCTCTCAAATCCACACCAAAACTCAACACACACACACAGAACACTCACATAAGAGCTCACACCACAAGCCGAGAGACGAAACCCAAAACAGCGCACAGCTGCAACAGTTATTATATTACACAATTACAGTGCTCGATATCTGGCTGGCTTCAGCCACACACAACAGCAACGCTCCGATCCAGGTATCTACTCCCCTCCTCTCTCTCTCTCTCTCTCTCTCTCTCTCTCTCTCTCTCTCTCTCTCTCTCTCTCTCTCTCTCTCTCTCTCTCTCTCTCTCTCT